TTATTAGTAGTATCTTTATATTTTAAACGAATTCATGATTAATTATCTTTTAAACTATCACTAAACATGACTTTTATAATAAACTCTTCAGTATCGCTGAACCAAGGTAACGAGTGAAATAGAGGTGTGGCCCCTTTAAATGAGTGCTCTCTCTTCTGACTAAATGCATTGCAATGCGGCACGAGTACATGTATGAGCGGCCTTGAAAGCAATCCGTTCGCGGTTAATGTAGAAATGAATGCCCACAGCAGATATTCAATGAATTGGAGATTTTGGGCAAATAAGGTAATCCACTTTACTGTTCTAAAATCCGCGACGCTTGACGTTGTATTCTCACATACATGAACTAGGAAAAGTGCTTGCTGCTGCTGCTAATGCCACTGCTGTTATATGAACAATACATGCTTAGTAATTACTCCTCACGCGAATAACCTGCACGTAGTTTTACAACTTGTATGTTTCCTAGTTTAAAAATGTACATCTGACTAACGCAATAATGCACAGAAAACAGAGTGAAAACCGTTTACTTATCTAGCTGTTGAGTTTCAGAGAACTCTGAAAGCGCGCTGCAGGAATCTCAAGTGAATGCTATATAAATGCAAGGCAGTAAGCTCATTGGCTGCATATGCAGCATGAACCAATCAGCTTGTGCCAAGTCGTTTAACTCTATGAATGTCATCAGTTACGTTAACACCCCGTCAGCCTGTGCCATCTAGAGTTTCTTGCCTGAACTATATATTTATCAATATAACAAAAGCGGTCAACTGTCAAAAGTTTCAGTTTTATATTTTTTTGTAATAATATTTGGCAATATTACAGTTTTTACTGTATTTTAGATCCAAAAATATGCATACACTACTGTTTAAAATAATTATGATTTATTGTTTTTGTTTTTTTTATGCTCACCAAGGCTGTGTTTATTTGATCAAAAATATAGTAAAAACAGTAATATTTTGAAGTTATTCTAAAAAGTTATAAAACTGAAACTTTTGACCATTTTGCGAGCTCATATTCGTTTAGAGGCTACATGAAATATTTGTCCTTTTAATAATTCAGTTTTCACACCGCAGGACTAAGTGAACTACAAAAAGATAAAAGCTGATTTGAAATGGTAGTAATACTGAAGACAAATCCGACTTTCATATTCATAATTAATGTAAACATTAGGATATATTTTATGCTATTATATTATTTTGTAGATTTATGTGTATATGGTGTTATGATAATGTAGTGATATGATTTGTTGATTAGCAGAAACCAGGCCTAATATTACCTCATTTGATGATGCTGGGTTCGAAAATATCAACAAAATCTTTCCGCTTTAATGCACTTGTCAAACTAACAAAAGCAGTCAAAATTACATTTGTATTTTAATTTTTTTATAATAATATTTGGCAATATTAATATAATATACGAATATTTTTTGTTATCCAAAACACACACTTCATTTGGAATAATTACTATTTTTGTTGATTTTTTTAGTTTGTTTTCTTTGTTCACTAAGTCTGCATTTATTTGATCAAATAGATAGTAAACAGTAATAATGTGAAGTATTATTATAAAAAATAAAATGAGGACCATCACATTTGTAATTAATTTAAACATTAGGATATATTTTACGCTATTACATTATTTTGTAGATTTTTATGTGTTTGTGGTGCTATTTAATGTATGTAGAAAACTCTTTTATGAAGTGAACTCACTTAAAGAGTTATTTAGTATCATTTTGCCAGAAAAAGTTTTAGAATTTTTATCATATGTTAATGTATAAAATCTTGTGTAATATAATGTGTTTGTTTGTTTGTTTGCTGGTTTTTATTGTATTTGTTATACTTGTATTTTTTTTTATTGTTTTGGCAATGAAAATAGCCTTACAAATGGTTTTTGAAATCAAAAATGCTACAAAATGCATAATTTTTTCATGAAAGTGTGACACAAATAGACACTTTTTTGCATTCGACAGAAAAATTTGTAAGAAACCTATTGGATTTCACTAAGGAAATATGATGCAGGGCAGAGTTATAATAATTGTCCTATCCTAACAAACCACACATCAATGGAAAGCTTATTTATTCAACTTTCAGTACAAAAAAACCATTGGCCTTATGACTGGTTTTGTGGTCCAGGGTCACATATATGTTGATGTTGATGATGTGTTGTTTTCAGCTCATCCAGGGAACACAGCAGTGCTCAGTGAACTCTGTGCCACTCTGTCCCGTCTGGCCGTGAGAAACGAGTTCTGTCAGGACATCGTAGACCTCGGGGGCCTGACGTTCATGATCACACTCCTGGCTGACAGTCTGGATCGTCAGGTGAGCTGCTGGATCAGTAAGAGGTTCGGCATTGTTTCCTATGAACACAAACAAATGTCTTGCTGTTGTGATGCGTCTGTCTTCCAGGAGCTTGTGAAGCAGGTGCTCATCGCACTGAAGGCCATCGCAGGAAATGATGATGTCAAAGATTCCATTGTGAATGCCGGAGGGGCGGAGCTTATCGTCATGGCGATGAACCGTCACATGGCCAGTGCACAGGTGTGTCCTCAGAAGTGCAATAGAATGCCTGTTATTATCTAATTACTGTCCACAAATTCTGAACTGCTTTTAAACCTTTTAGTAAGTTAAAATGTATGTTTGAATAATACATTAACTGTTTAATAGTAAATTACTCGTAAATGAGTTTTCATACACTCAACACATTCCTGCTGTTTCCAGAAACATTCAGTAATGTTAATAGACAATTCAGTGTTTGACATACCACCTAAGAATTATATAATTATATGAATAAGAATTAAAAAATGAAATATTAACCCCCGGTTTCACAGACAAGGCTTAAGCCTAATGCCAGTCTTAAATCTTAAAATCTAAGTCTGAGCTGTTTCAACTGAAAGAAACTTGCTCTGACTGACCTTAAAATATATCAATGCCTTTATTTTGTCTCAAAATGCACACCAGTAATGTTTTTTCTAAGGGATGTTTTATAAAAATTACTTAAATGTCCTAATTGAACTATGGCCTAAACCTGGTTTAGTCTAAGCCCTGTCTGTGAAACCAGGCCTAAATGTAGAATTATAAAGTTATATGTTAATAATAAGAACAAAAAAAATAAATATTAAATGTAGACTTATAAAATGATATATTTTTTAATTATTTTTAAGAGTTTTTTTTAATTATAAAATTTTTTGTAATTGTTATAACCATGTAATTAACAAACAAGTCTTGTTTCCACAAAGAAAATGCATGAAACAAAGTTTGAAGTAATTAGTTATTAATTATATAATCAATAGATTTACATTTCTAGTTATATACACTAGTGTTCAAAAGTTTGAGGTCAGTATGTTTTTTTTTTATGTTATTGAAAAGTCTCTTCTGTTCACCAAGGCTGCATTTATTTAATAAAAAAGTAAGTAAAACTGTGAAATATTATTACAATTTAAAGGAGACATATTATGCCCCTTTTTAAAATATGTAATATAAGTCTCTGGTGTCCCCAGAGTGTGTCTGTGAAGTTTCAGCTCAAAATACCCCACAGATCATTTATTACATCATTTTGAAAATGCCTATTTTGAGTGGAAGCAGAAACACGCTGTTTTCGTGCATGTCTCTTTAAATGCAAATGAGCTGCTGCTCCCCGCCCCCTTTACAGCTGGTATCTGCTAAAATCATCTGTTTTAGTTCTGATTATCATGTTTATCGCGCTGAAATCATGCGGTTTAAACCATATGAGTTTAAACTTCTGATATAAAGTTTTCTGAGCGCACACATCCGAAGCACACGCACAGAAAGCGGCTGTCACAGCATGTGAGTACTAAACTAAGTTCTCATTCACACACAAGTTTACGTTAAAAACACAGACGAGTTACAAAAACAGTCTATGTCATGTCTGTGAAGGTAAACTGCTGGGAAATAAATCGCATGTTTATTTTAGATCTGTGTGGCAGCCGCAATATACAGTAAATAAATCAATAAATGCACTGCTCTGTTGTCTCCTCTGAGGCTGGGACTTTAAATATTGTTCTGTGCTCGTCTGTGCAGCCAAACACAGAACAGTTAGCATGCTTTGCTCAAACTTTCACCATGGCATTAGAGCTG